GCGCCCAGCGCTTGGGCTCGGGCGAGCGCCCAGGCGGCGCCTGATTGAAGAGCGCCGCCTGGGACATTAGCGAGGCGCTCGGGCCTCGCCTCGCCTCGCCCGAGCGCCTAGGCGAGTGCCCGAGCGCCTTTTGCAATCACTGGTATAAATGTACGAGGCAGTACCCCTTGTACCGGGTTTGAATCACCCTGCTTGGGCCTGTTTAGCGAACCGACAGCTGGATGGATGGGTAAATACTGGCCATGCCGTACTATGCTGCCTGGTTTTTCTGCCCTTGGTTTTGAACAACAATCTGGTTTATTTTGCTAGTCAATCTGTGGTTATTGGAACAACAATTCAGTTTTTCATAGTTTTATGCACTCTGAAGCTTTACTATGCCTCACTATCTGTTAACAAGAATATGTCAATTTGATATTGCTTCCAGAATGTAGCAAAAATGTGTTCTTGATTGCTTGATTTACTATGGGCAAAGACATGTATGATAAGAGTAAATTTTGTACTTTAGCTTGTTGCAAATTACATACATATTTTCTAAACTGGATTTTAGGACATATGCCTTCTTTGTACTTGGTGATTATTTTGTTTCTTTTTTCCTATGTAGTCTGTTGAATTTAGCAAGATAGTTGGTTTGCTAAAGCCCGAAGCATCTGAAGATGTATTGTTGTCAGCATGCCAGAAGCTTATGGTGTTTTTCACTCAGCGTCCTGAGCAGAAACATGTTTATTTGTCTCAGCATGGTTTTCTACCACTCATGGATCTTCTTGAAGTTCCTAAAAACTGTGTAAATTTGCTCACTCATTTACACAATTAGAATTTTGTACTGCATTAACTTTTGGTTACTAAATGATACAATTGTGTGAAGCTTCATAAGGATAACCTAATATTCTTTTACATTTTAATAACTGATTTTGTGAGGTTTCTACAGGTTATATGCTCTGTACTTCAAGTTATCAATCATATAATCAAAGACAACATTGGTTTTCAAGAGAATGCTTGTCTTGTTGGCCTAGTAAGATAACTTCTCTTATAAGATTTTTATAGTGGATAAGTTAGAGTCGCAGTTATGAAGTCGATTTCAAACTGGGGATGCAGATTCCAGTTGTAATGAACTTTGCAGTTCCTGATCATCCTAGGGAAGTTCGCATGCAGGCAGCTTTTTTTCTTCAACAGCTTTGCCAGTCCAGGTTCAGGCTTACTTCCATCTCTAATTTTTCACGTTTATAGATTAGCTTTTGTTATTTTCAACTCATGTTGCATTATCATTTAGCACTATGACATTGCAAATGTTCATCGCTTGCCGTGGAATACCTGTTCTGGTGGGCTTTCTTGAAGCTGACTATGCAAAGTACAGGTTGGTTTACCATCTTGTTAGTTGATCCATTTCGTGAATGATTTTCTATTATTTTTTGTATAAGTTTTCCTCCATTGCCAGGGAAATGGTTCATCTTGCCATAGATGGCATGTGGCAGGTTTTTAAGCTTAAACACTCAACCCCAAGGAATGACTTCTGTTGCATTGCTGCAAAGAATGGCATACTTATTAGGCTTGTCAACACGCTCTACAGTTTGAATGAGGCAACTCGGCTAGCATCTATAGATGGAAATGTATCCATTCCACAGAATGGTTCTGCTTCAAGACCGAGATCTGGTCCATTAGACCATCTTAATCGTCCTGCTTGTTTGCAGTTTGAATCACCAATTTCCCACTTGTGTCAAATTGATGCTTCTAAGGTTAGGCATGACCATCCTTTTTCATCTGGAGTGCAAGAGCAAATGCAAAATGCAGCTTCTTTTTCTCAACGGACAGATGCAACCCAGTTGGACAAGCAATTTTTTGGTGATGGAGAAAGGACTCTCCCAAGATATGCTCAATTGGAAGCATCAAAGGAGAATGAACATTATAATTTGTGGGATCATGAACCTTCACATATGGATGTTGACTTATCTAGGCAACAGCGAGGTACAAATTCTGTTGTTAGAAGTTCCACTGATAAGCCTCCAAAACATATGGAATTTGCATTAAATGGTCACTCCAGTGGTGCAAATCAATTAGTATCTCAACATGAACAAATTCGGCCACTCCTGAGCTTGCTGGAAAAGGAACCACCTTCACGACTTGTCTTGGGACAGCTGGATTATGTACGTCATCTTTCTGGATTGGAAATACATGAAAGCATATTGCCACTGTTGCATTCTTCAACTGAGAAGAGGACAAATGGTGAACTTGACTTTCTGATGGCAGAATTTGCAGGTATTTGTTGGGTTCCTTCATGAACATTATTAATGATCAGTTTTTAGTTAATAAATTATGAATTACGGATACAGTGATCTTTCCTATCTAGAGTAAGAGTTGTTTGTTTACTCTTGCAGCTTATATATAATTTAAAAGTGTAGATATGCTTGATCAACTAACTTTATTTTTTATGGATTATTGTTAACTTCCTTCCAACTTTGATAATATAGGGGTTTTTATAAAAAAAAAAAACTTCCAGGTATGGTGCGGATATGCTTGATGATCTTGAATGATCATAAGATAATTACTAACTGTCATTTGATGATCTTGAATGCATTTTGATGAGTCATCTTTATTTTAGTGTTCATATTTATTGATCATGATATTTCTTTAAAAAATTTTAATATTCGGGAGCGCCCAAGCAAAGCCTATCGCCTCGGCATTTTGGCACCAAGGTGCCTTTAATGCCCAATGCCTACAAATGTACTGCTTGTTTTGTACCATATTGAGCGATATGACACTCCATGGCATCTGTCCTGTTTAGGCATAATGCTTCTGAGTCAGAGTTAGTTACAATTGATGGCTCACTATAACATCTTGATAATCTCTGCTATTTTCTCTCAAATTCAAGGTACAACTGAAATGTGGCTTAGTCTGCCTTCCAATTCATGTGGTATGTTCCTATAAAGGCAGTTCCTCGATGATACCATTTAACAAAGATGAGGACCAGTGAAAAGCGTCTTGAACTTTCTGTCATGATTTGTGAAATGTTTAATCCGAGTTTTGTGTTTAAAAAAATGTAGTTCCAAGATCCTGTAAATTATATGAATTAGGTGAACTGCTTGAAAGTTACTTCATAACCTCTTCATCTTAGGCTAATTATCCCTGTGGTCGCATATTTATGGTTACAGAATATTTATAGGTTCTCTATTACTGGGTTCTGTCAGATAAGGTTGGTAGCCTGGGATTTAGGGCTCCATTTGGGAATTAATGCTCTCTTTTGCAATCCATGGAACTTCTTTCACAAATTTTGTGTTTCTATTAATGGAACTATTTCTATAAATAATGTTTGGTTGCAGAGTAATTTGCTCAGTTCGTAGGTACTTAAAATTTGAAACTCAAGTAGGTGCTTCCTACATGGCCCCACTATTCCTTGATTTATATATCTTCTGGTCTTCTTTTTTTTTTTAATAATTTTTTTCATTTTGTTTTCTTTCTTTCTTTGCAGAGGTCTCTAGGCATGGACGAGACGATGGGAACATGGATATTAATATGAAACTTTCAAATAAAACAAGCAAGAAGGCTTTCCCCACACTGGGGTCATCAAGCTCTAATGAAGGAGCTTCAACATCTGGATTAGCATCACAGGCAGCAGCTGGTGTTTTATCTGGATCTGGCGTATTAAATGCTAGACCTGGTAGCACTACATCATCCGGATTGCTGTCACAAATGGCGTCTTCATTGAATGCTGATGTGGCAAGGGAATATCTTGAGAAAGTTGCAGATCTTCTCTTAGAATTTTCCCAAGCCAACACTTTGGTGAAGTCTTACATGTGTAGCCAAAGCTTGCTCGCTCGCCTTTTCCAGATGTTCAATAAGATGGAGCCTCCTATTCTTCTAAAGGTCAGTCTGACTTCCCCTGATGGCAAATAGCATCTTATCTTATTTAAGTTACTAGTCTAAATTTCTGAAAATGTTTCTATATTTTGAACTGCAGATTTTAAAGTGTATCCACCATTTATCCATGGACCCAAATTGTTTAGAAAGTTTTCAACGTGCTGATGCAATCAAGTATCTGATTCCAAACCTCCAACTCCATGAAGGGCCTCTTATCTCTCAAATACATACTGAAGTGAGTAAACTAATTGTGTATATTGCCCTGAAGTTATGAGAAGTTGCATACATGTACAACTGATTTTCCTGATTAATATGTAGCATATTTGTTACAATGGTGAATTATTTTACATTTAGAACTGATGCAAACCAGGTTGACTTCTTGGTTGTATATTTAGTCATGTTATAAACAATGTTAGTTTGGTCTCATTTTGTTTTGGGATTTATGCAAGTATAGGTAACTTATACGACACTTGTAGTCAAGTGTAGCCTCAGATCTTCATATACTTGAGTACTTAATTTATATTTTTAATTACATGATTTGAAGTTTGAACCTAATTCTTGGGTTACATTTTCTGAATCTCTCACCAGGGAGAATTAGATGGTCTGGATTATAAAAACAGGATGATTGTATAATCCAAACATGAAACACCTTTTATTTATATTCATGTTAATAGATTTTTCAAGAAAAAGAATATTTCAATTAATACCTTTTTACCAAACGGATCCCAAACACCTCTTATTGCCAACTACGAAAATATAGATTAGTGTGATGTATTGTCATGCGATGTGCATAACCCGAGAAATATCTGTACATTGTGTATTAATTGTTCTCGAGGCTAAGTTTTTTGAAGTCAAAATAGGGAATTCAAGTTTTTGAACCATATATTATGTATATTTTCTCAGTCTTTTATGTAGAAATGCACAATCCAGTGGTCATATCTTTAGGTTTCAGTGAATTTGCATTCATCTGATGTTCTCTGTTGCTACATTGGCAAGTGACATGTGACTAATTAAATTTTCTGATGATTTGAAGGTCCTTAATGCGCTCTTCAACCTTTGCAAGATAAACAAGAGGAGACAGGAACAGGCTGCTGAAAATGGAATAATCCCACACTTGATGAATTTTATCATGTCAGATTCACCACTCAAACAATATGCATTGCCTCTACTGTGTGATATGGCCCATGCATCTCGAAACTCAAGGGAGCAGCTGAGGGCTCATGGAGGATTGGATGTGTACTTGAACCTACTGGAGGATGAAGCTTGGGCTGGGATAGCATTGGATTCAATTGCAGTCTGCCTGGCACATGATAACGACCAAAGAAAAGTAGAACAAGCATTACTGAAGAAGGAAGCAATACAGAAATTAGTGAAGTTCTTTCAGAACTGTCCTGAACAATATTTTGTGCACATTTTGGAGCCTTTCTTGAAGATAATTACGTAAGAAATGGAACACACATTTTATTCTTGCTCTTTGATCTGATATTCCTGAGTTGTTATGTTAGTTTCCTGATTTCTGACTCGACAAATGAAAATGCAGGAAATCATCCAGAATTAACACGGCCATGGCCATCAATGGTCTAACAACATTGCTAGTGGCAAGACTTGATCATCAAGATGCTATTGCCCGTCTTAACCTGCTGAAACTAATAAAGGTAATCTTTGTCAGCTTTAATGAGAAAACAGTGGTTTACTACAAATAATGTCATTGAGGCTCCAAATAGATATTCGCCTTGGTTTGTTGTTATCACCACAGCAACCACATTGGTCTTCCTTTAGTATTTTTGTGGCTCACGCGTATCCAAGTCATGGGGCTCCAAAGAGATAGATGTTCACCTTAGTTTGTTATTACCACAGTAAAAACATTTGGCTCCAAATATATGTGCATCCTAGTTTGTTAGTTATTACCACAGTAAACACATTGGGCTGCCTTTTATTATTTCAGGCTGTGTACGAACACCACCCTAAACCAAAGCAACTCATAGTGGAGAACGATTTGCCCCAAAAGCTCCAGAGTCTTATTGAAGAACGGAGAGATGGTCAGCGGTCTGGAGGCCAAGTCTTGGTAAAGCAAATGGCGACGGCATTACTGAAAGCACTACATATCAACACTGTGTTGTGAATATGGCTGGTCAGGTTATATATTCAACTTCAACAGAAAAGAAATGTGTTCTCACTAGTTTATTCTCTCCTCCCTTCCCTGTTTATTTTTTTTATTTAAAAAGGGGGGCAGCTTTTAGGGTGTTTTTGTTTTGATCCTTCGGAATGAGGTTGCATGATTTGTTTTGTTTTTAGCAGACAGTTAAGTTGAGTGTAGTCTCAGAAATTTTTGTAAATAAGTTGTATATTGTTAATCCATATTTTAGCTAATTGCAGTGGTTAGGTTATTCTTTGGTGCGGTTCAAAGTGTTAACATGACAGTGGTTATGCTTTGAATTAGGATGGTCACCAAATTTACTCGATCGTCCGTTCTGTAGTTATACTTGAAACATTATGTAGTTTACAATACGGGGATTGTTTCCACTTTCTAGTGTGTGGGTTTGAGCTCTCACTATTATTTTTCAAGACCCCCCCCCCCCCTTGTTTAGACAGTAGGTTATACTTGAAACATTAAGTAGTAGTAAGTAGGTCATCATCCTTTTTGGTTGGGGTAGTTTGTTGGTGTTGTTGTTATGCATGGCGGCTACATGCGGTGCATCACATCTCTGAGAGCCTTTGGACCTTCGCAGTCGTTTCTCCCTCCCCCCGAACGACGACGCGACCTACTTACTAAGAGTCGTTGTCCTTTCTTTCTCTCTCTTAGGCCTGCGTCAAAACAACCGCCTCCCTCTTTCTCCTTCGAGCCTTGGGACCATCGGAGCTTTATGGTCCTAAAAGTTGGCCTTTCTCAACATTGGGAGTTTTGGGTGTATATTAGTAATTATAGTTACTTTCATCTAGGAGGAACAGGGGGGTGATTTTTTTGCCATCAATCGATTATCTTTCTTTTCTTTTTTTTTTTACCAAAAATATTTGGGATTTTAATCTACGAAAAAGTTGATTAAAACAAGTTAATTTCCTACAACCTTTGATAGATTTAATCATTTAACTATGTATCTATTCATCTACGTTAATTGTTAGTATTTGGTCATCCCTTTATATTGGACATACTTTGTATTGAAATGTGCCTCCCCCCAAGCCTCTTTGGTTATATAGCTAGCTCTTTGGTCGTTAATTCTTAGGTTGATTATGTGTATTTCAGTTCATCTTCGAGTATAGTAAGACAATATATATATATATATATATATATATATATATATATATATATATATATATCACTTCAAACTTGCATGTCCATTGGTTTTTAATTTATGACGATTTTAGGAGTCATTTCAAAAATAATGGCCATGCTTCAAGCCTCTTTAAAGCAGTGGCACATGAAATAATAGTTCATGCGATCCAACTTGGTGGCCTAGCAGAGGAGAAGGGAGGAGATGGAGATTGGAAGGTAGAAAAGGTGATAAGTTTGATTGCCAAAACAGAATCTGCAAGCCTCAACATAGAAAATCCATTTGGGTACACCAAGAAATAAGAGAGAATGGATGGGAAGAAGAAACATTTGTAGGAGGGAGAAGACACCACAATCGGATCAAACTGGTCCCATTTGATTTGGTTTATACTCCTTTAGGTTTGATAGATTCATTACCATATAATAAATAAAGCAAAAAAGACACAGGCATACTTTTGTCTACTCAATAAAATAAAAAAAAAAGAGAAGAAGAATTAAAAAAAACATGTCCATTCAAACAAAAAAACAACAACAACAAAAAAAAGACAGCTCATGATAATTTCTCATGCATAAATTTCCCAGTAAGAATTATCAAAATAAAATCTTTAATTTCTATTTCCAAAATAGATGCAATGACAAATGGATCTTAACAATGCATGTACAACATATTATCTAGTGTTTGCAGATACAGAAGACTAAGATGATGAATTTATACAAGAATTAAGTTAAAGAAGCCATTTTCCCTCTCATCGCATCTCCATATAAATGTGCACAAATGTATAGTCGTTTTTACCCCCTACCATTTCGTCTGTCTGTTACAGACATAAAACTCTCACAAGGATACATCAAATGATATGAAACTACTCCGTAATAACACGCAAAACAAAACATATAAATCTTATATGAGTTTTACACACACTAAATCAAGAGGATAGGCTATTTCTCAATGGCAATATGTGATTAAATAGAATAACCTATTTCGAACAAAATAGTAGTGCAACTTGCAAGTACGAATCCAACTTTCGAATTTAAAAATGAAAAAGAAAAAAAGTCACAGTTACGTTTCAGTTTTGATTTACCAAGGTTTTATTTAGTGAAAACTTTAATTCCGCATTCTCCTTCCTGACTCTTTTGAAAAATTGTATTTGGGTCTTCTAGTCACCAACTATCATCATGTTCTGATCCAGCCACAACCAATTTATATATCATATCATTTGCGAGTAAATTTGTGCATTTCCATGTTAGTGTTACACCTATCGTATTCCACAACTTGAAAATTGAAGACTCACGTAGCAAGGACGTAATCCTGGAAACGCACAAAGGTGCAGAGGTAGTAAGTAGTAGATCGACACTGCTTTGTATGTCCTTCCATGAATTTGCTCACACCAAGCGCATATCCCAGATCCTTATCCCTGTGTTGTCAAGAAAAATAGAGTCTAATAGGTAGGTGAAGGCGAAATTTTAGCCAACTAAAAGGGAGGAATGTGACATGCCTGCTGCTGATGGCTCATTAGAATTTCAATGGCAACACTAGGATCTCCATCGGCAGCAGCCAAGGCAACTTCAGCTTCAGTCTGCAGTAAAGCGATTGCATAAAGTCACAACTTGGCAGCCTAAAATAAATAGGTTGCTCGGGAAACTCTTATCCCAAATCAATTACATGAAGCGATTACATAGATGTGAGAACAACTTATTAGCAGAAATCACAAAAGGGATACCCATGGGGGACAAATGCAAGTAGGATTAAGATGCAATAAAATTGAAGCTTCAAATTCATGAGTTGATTTTAGCAGCGAAAGTTTTAACCTTTAATAATCACGACTGAATTTGATCAGGTTTTTCAATTTAGCTTAGATGAACTGTGAGCAACCACCGCACTTTTAAACTGACATTCAACAATTTCTACCTTTCTTTTCCAAAATAATCACTTTTTATATTCCTGGACCAATGACTAGAAGATCATATGAGAATTTTTTTCACAATGACAGTTCCATCACCACAGTGACTAGAAGATTCTGCATAGCATTTATTCATTTCCATGTTCTACGTTGTTTGATGCAATTCGAGGCCTGCTTCAAACAATAGAGAAGGTACCCAAAATTTCATAAGCAAATCCCCATGGCTGATTCCACTACAGAAGGAAATAGTCAATGCTACAAGTTTCTTGAGTTCCATATGCAATAAAAATACCTTCTCAAAACCCATTGCTACAAGTTTCTTGAGTTCCTCTTCGAAGATATCTACACCCTGTAAAAGATTTACTAAATAAAGGTTTCTACTAATAAAGAAGTGAAACTATTAATAAACAAAAAAATTATTTCAGTAAACGAACTGAAAACATCAACCTGATTGGTTGTCACTAATCCAGCAACTGCTTCAGTGTCTAGAGTAGAATGCCTAAATCATGATGAAAAAGTTCCATAAATCATACATGAATGATACAGTCTAAATGAAGAAAACAGATTAAAAGATAAAGAAAAATTCATTGATGACTAATGAGAGTGGGAGGAAAAGTCTTGAATCTAAAAGGAGGATCTTGAGAACTAACAGTATGATGATTTATAGATTCACTTTTCCATTTTCTTTCATTTTGTATTTTTTATTTTAATAAAATATCTCAGGTGTCAAGCATGTACAAGTTCATCTAAGCAGCCTAAATGCAAAAGAAGAAACTGAAATAATATACTGGACAGTCAATTTGAACTAAAAATGATATATCTGAAGATCAACTTAACAAGAAATACCTAATTAATTTGTTGAAGACAAATCAAATTGTTTATCAACGGATGATACTAGTATCTCTAATCCTCACATGAGAATTCCTCAACATAGTTGATCAAAGCTTTAAACAATAAATACCAATAAACAACTCAAATAATTACTCATATTACGTCTCCTCAAAACTCCACTCACTTAAGAGTAAACAGGAACTCTATCAGTCACCCAAAATATAGCCTCTACTGCAGTCATTTTCTGTTGGATGGACTTCGAGGTAATGAAATTAGTGGCAGATTAGTCATCTCATCCAATCAAAAGACTAACCCTCTGGCAAATTGCTTTCTCCCATTTGAATTCTTTGAGAGACTGTATATCAAGATTTCCAAATTTGCTTGCCTACCTATGATCATAAAGGTCATAAACTCAAATCATAGGATTGGATCATAAAATCTTACAATTTATATGAGTTAAATTTAAGATTACATATGCTTATAAATAATTTCTCTTAATAAGATTAACTATTATATGTCCTTAAGTTATTATTTGTACTTATATTAAAGTGAATGTATATTTGAATTATTATATCTCTTATCTCAAAGAATAATATTTTTTAAGGTTTACAATGGTTTGATTGATCTCTCCATTACTCAAGAATCAAAACTAAGAATGATACTCATTAACAAAAGAGTGATTTTATGAGCTACGTAATTTCTATTGTAATAAACAAATATGTTCACATCATGGTTCGCCTTACTAGTCCATATCAATGTACAGACCAGCTATCGGTATGGTGCGTACTGAGATGTATCGAGTCATACCGAGTGTACCAACAAATGGTACATGAAGGCATACCGATGTACCGCCTATACCAATCCATTATCGAAAAGGTACATATCACCTGTACCGAACGATACATTGCTGTATGGCGAACCTTGGTTCATATATTACTAATGATAGTTGAAGCAGAAATTTAGAGTTATTAGCTTAATATTTTGGTCTCATTGAAGAATGTGTTCTTTCTTTTCATTTTCTTTCCTTCTTCGTAACATTTCAAAATCTCATTGAAGGTAAGGACAATAAAAAAGAGGGAGTGGGGTTGAGTGTCACAAGAAGCCTAAAGAAGCCAAGCAATTGAATCAAAGGAGGTAGTTGGGCAATGTCTCAAAAGTTAGTCTTGCAGGTGTCCCTTAAATTTGCCCAATTAGTGAGCTATTTTTATGATCATGATATGCACCTAAGTTGCCTTTATGAACTCTAGAAAAAGAAAACAAGGACCGATGGTTTAAGTACTCGTTACTTTTCTTTTTTACTTCTTGTATTTTGTTAACTCCAGCATTGGATTTTTTATTGAAACATGGAAGAAAAACCCTGCTACATTGTTGTAGTCATAAGTTTATGCCTTTGATTCCAG